ACACACACACACACACACACACACACACAACAATTTGACACATTTCCCGCTCTTATGTGCCCATCCCCCCACATGGATCACACCTGGCACAGGCAATACATGTTCAGTGCCTATTCTTTGTATATTTACTGCAGTTGTTCATATATGCCAGTAGTCTGATACAATATAGTTTGAAAGGGTGTTAAATGACATTTGGTGATGATTAATGGTTTTTGTGTTAATGTAATAGCAGTTAAAACAAAACCGGTCAAAATTGACCGCGAACACCAAAGTAAGGGCGGGAAAACGAAGACAATAGAAGGGTTAAAGTTGTTCTATGAACACATCCCATGGTTAAAATAAATAACTGTACCCTCAAGTCATAACAGGGCTACACTGAGTATTCATTTTGGAATACACCAACCTTGGTTAAACAGAAACAAAATAAGATAAGAAAAAAAAAAGAAACATTGCATGCCATTACTTGTTCTTGGTTAAACCTCATGTTATGAAATGTTTGCCTGGATGCTGTCATTTCACAATGAGGACTGTTAAGTGCAACTTTGGCCACATGAGAGTAAGTCCAATATAGGAAAAGAGCTGAGTCACCACTGGTTTCATGAACACAGACACATTAAATATGTTATAGTTTAGTGTTAGGATCGCGGTTGAGGACAAAACGCAAACCAGAAGATGTTAAGGTGAATCAATCAGCAATAATAGCAGAACTTAAAAGAGGTGGTTTACCTAAATGATGGCAAAATACATTTGTTCTATTGTAACATGCAATACAACAAATTGCATGTTACAATAGACATGTTTAAAGATTAAACGCGTAGGATTGGCGTGGGAAGGTTGTGTTAAGATATTATTTTTAGGTTTGTTTTCTAGGGTTTCAAAATATTTTCTGCTTTCAGCCCAAAACAATAAATAGCGTATGTGTCATTTTACATAAAGAAACATAAGCAATATCTCTTTCCAGTCCAAGACCATTTTTAGGATTATGTTAGCACCACATAGTAAATAGCATTGAGCTACACGGTATGCTACTGTAATGTGTATCAACCTCAGATTAGAGCTATCTCACAACCTCAGCAAACAATCCAGCACTATCTACGGCAAGGGGTATGTGGGAAAATGCTTCTTTATCATTTAGGTTAACCATTACTGTGAATGTTTGGTGATCGTAAAAAAAGACTGATACAAAGTAAATCAGATTTGAGGGAAATTGATCCCATTCATTGCTTCCAAACATGTCAGAATAACAGAAAAGCAATAACTCTACTGTGAATTATGATTTTAGATGTTGATTTCTCAGTAAACTGATAATGAACTCACAGTATACCATGCAGTTCTGTGCAGATAAAACAACCACACAAACATGTAGGTATGTACAACATCGTGTAAGGCATTAGGCAATGATAAGAGGAGATATTATTTAGAGACACTGAAGGTGCCAGAAAAAAGAAAAACAGAAAATCAAAATAAAGAGAGCTCCTTTTCAGGACATTTTCATATTCATATCTTATATAAACTGTCCATGCTTTTAATTTGGCACTTTTAATCAAACTGGAGGCTTTTGCTTCCTGTAATGATGTGATTGATTCATTATTTGCCATTGTAATTGTTTTATTTGACTATAGCTGAAAGCTGGATGTGAGGGTGGGTGAGCGAGCTATCAATGTGTTTGTTGCGTATGTTATGATATGTAACATTGGTATTGTTATTTGTATTTGTGCCCATAGGACCGCCTTGCAAATAGGATACCTAGGGTTATATCCTTTTAATATATTTAAATATCAAAAATTCAAAATAAAAAAAGTTGTGTCTTTATTTCATCCTGCATGATGAGCCCCTTGATTCAGATAGTTCTTGCGGTAAGAGGTACGGTAGACTCCTTTAGATCACTCCAACAGCTGAATAGAAAGCTGGTCCAGTTCAAGACAGTGCTTTTAAACATGAGGCCAATAGCCATCACCAGGCAGGGGTGTCCAAACTACGGCCCGGGGGCCAAATGCGGCCCGCGGACCATGTTGAATCGGCCCTCAGCAAATTGAAAAAGTATAATGGAATATGGCCCACAAATGAAACTTGTGCTTGTCTTATATTTTACTTCTTAAATGTAAAAATATATTACACAGTAGTATTCATGTGTTAATTAAAGTTGGAAACATATCTTAGTTGATAAGAAAAAGCCCAATTACTTATTTACATAACAAGCTTGAAATAAACCCTTCCTATATATTTCTCCTTATTATAATCAATCTGAGGCTTCTGTTTTAAGGGATGAGCTGCTAACACTCACAAGCATCCTACATTTGATTGATTTTGCTAACTTATAACTGAACTTATGAAGCAATATAGCCTACCTCTAGTTAGTGGCCCAGCGCTTCGTACATTTGTGTGTGGCCCTCGGTTAAAAAAGTGTGGACACCCCTGGCCTATACTATTTTAAATGTTTATAGTTTATTGAAATTGTCGCAATTTCCCAAGAGTCCTGGTTACAGGGTATGTTGATACGTTTAAGTAAAGCCAAACAAGTATGTGTCACTTACCTTAGACTCCTCCTGAATTGTGTCAGTAACAATTCTAACGTGGCTGGTGCACCAGAGCCCTCTGGTGGCGAACCAGTGTAAGGATCCTCCAAGTATCACCACTCCACTGTTGAGTGTTGTTGGACACGTTTTTGCTTAAGCTTCTAAAAAACATCAGTAGTATGAATTAACATTATCTTTCCAGCTGAAACAAGGCTACTTCTGAGAACACATGTCCATCATCAGTGATAACTATTTAGGAAAGTCCAAACCAATGTTTATACTTGTTTTCTGTCAACGAATGTCCCTTTTGCTTCCACTAGGATTCATGTACCCTCCTTGTTTTTCTCCGAGATCCGATTAATTTCCCCATAACATCTTTCTAAATAATGAATTTAATATAATATATAATATAATAAATGCACTGGCCCTTTAATGAAATATCAGTTATTTTGAATTTTTTTATCAGAAGATTTTTTTAGGTAATTGTTCAATGCCAAGGAAAACATGGAGCAAATAAAAGAAAAAACGATAGTTTTATCCAAATTAAAACCGGATATCCGGTTGAGAAAATGTTTCCCAGAATAATGTCCGGCAGCCACCGATTTATGTTCCTCTATCACGTTGATAATGGCGTTTTAAAACCATACTTCGGATCTTTTCATCTGTTCCATTTCCATACGGTATTGCATTTCTACGGAAGCTGCTGCTGAGTGATAATGCGAGTATTAAGACAATATGGTTGTAAACAATACGATGAAGGCACCTGAAGGTTCCGGTTGACACCCGGACACAAACAAACGGGAGCACAAACTGAAAGGAGTGGGTTTGCGGGTTTGCTGCAGATTCACTGAGGTGTGTATTTAATTCTAAATAACCTCTTCTGTTGTAGTAACGTTATTAGCATCTATGAGCTTCTATTAGCATGCCTTAGCTACGCTATTTGCAGATGTGTGCGTGTGTTCCCTTGTCGCTAATGTTATTCTGCCTGGCGTCATAGATGGGAGAAGTACTCAGATATTGTACTTAAGTAAACGTAGAAGTACTAGAGTGTAGGAATACTCTGTTACAAGTACAATTACACAAATATTAGCATCAAAATATACTTAAAGTACCAAAAGTACTAGTCCTAGATTTATTTACCTAACTACAGGATAGCTTGTAATATTACTCCAGGCATAACTAAAGTCCTTTGTATGTGTTTTTTGTGTTTCACATTATTAATCAAAATCTTCAAAGTAACTAAAGGTATTACATAAATGTAGTGGAGTTAAAGTAAACAATTTACCTCTGAATTGAAGTTGAGTAGAAATAAGAAGTAGCAAAACATTCAGTAAATTACAGGTTTCTGAAAATTGTGCTTAAGTACAGTACTTGAGTAAATGTACCAAGTTCCTTCCCACCTCTGGCGAGTTACCTGCAGACAGATGATACTTTTTTCATGTGTTTGTCTTCACAGTGTCCCCGTCTCCTATGGATTCACTCAACACGTTTGAATCTGAGATGGAGGCTGATGGGCAGGGGAGCTACTCTCTGTTTCCTGCGCTGGACAGCATTGCAAGTCTATCTGGGGCCGCTGAGACTCTGGAGAGGTTGTAGAAGATAAAGTGTAGAATAACTGCTTTTGGATAACATACACTGTGAAATATATGATAAGATAATAAGATATAATAATCATTTAAGATTGAATAGTGGTATTGCTACAGTACAGAATAGAATCCCTGGGAGTTCAGAAACAGGTTTTAATGCCAAGGAGGTTAACACATAAGAGGAATTTGCCTTGTTGTATACATAAGCACAGTCAAAGAAGATACATTTTTTAAAAAGGACCATCAAATAAAACAATGATAAACTAAAACTATTATAACATAGAAATATAGCAATATTTACGTGCAATATAGATGAAATATAGATATGCCCGTACAAATAAAATAAAAATATGTGCAGTGTTTATATGACAAATGGAAAGCCGTGCAGATACAAGAGGTATAATGAAATTATAATACAAATCAGAGGGGATTCCATTATTTAAAAGTGCTTTTAGATTCTTGACCTATATAATTTGAGTATTTTCCTTTTTTAACATCATTTCATATAAAATAATCTATATTACACATGTTAAGTTCTAAATATATACATAGTAGTTCAGCGATGCGGTTTTATTGATATACTGATATAATCATATTTCACATGTAATGATTTCCAACTAGAAATAAATAATAATTACGAAATACAATATTGCACCGGATGATAATAAACCGTGTCTTATTGCAGCGAACCGCCCAGTGACATTGCAGAGAAGCCAAACCTCACATGGCTCGACGCTGCACAGGTATTTACTATTTACTCAGTTTGATGTTACTAAAACAATTTACCACAATCAACTGTTTGGAGATTTTTTGGTGAATGTTTTTGTTGGCTTCTCCTGTCTGTGATGTAGATTGTATTGGAAGAAGCGGGACGTCCTATGCACATAAAGGAGATCAAACAGAGAATCATCGACAGGGGACTTGTTCAATCCAAGTAATCCTCGCTATTTTTACAAAATGTTTGCCTAATTTGCTCATATGTTCATCCACATCGTGAATCATACATTTTTTGAGTAGACCATAACACTTGATACAATTAGACTCTGCTTATCTTGTTGTTTTCTTCTCGGCAGCGCAAAGTCCAGTCTGGAGGCAGTCATGTACCGCGAGGTAAGAATGGTGTTTAAGTCTGACAGCAACCCTCTGCTGTTGAGTGTGATGACGTGCACCTCCATTTAACATTTGTGTCAGTTCAGTCGATACAGTACATGTGTCATCTGTTGTTTCTGCCACTATCTTTTCTTTCTCCATGTTTTGCCATCTTGCTTCTTTAGGCTTATTTCACGACTTTCAAAAGAGACCGACATTTCTGAGCTGCAGTCGAAACAAACAATGCTCTGTGCTCAAATACAGAAGCCTTAAACCTGCTGTATCTAATAGTGGTGAAATTCATCTAAAATGGCTTTTGGGAACAACAATGTGGCTATTATAGCCCCGTGCATTGGCCTGAGTCTCACTATATGTTTCAGACACAAAAAGGCAGCAGGAGATTCAAGAGGATTGAGAACAGAAACGGAGTCTTTGCACTGCTGGTGAGTTAAATCGGACACTATCGCCAAATTCACACGAAACCCAAACAATAATTGGATCCTGAAATTGCATTAAATCTTTTATGCCAGACTATCGGTCGTGAATAAATACTGACTGTCCACACAAGATCTGGGTCCAAAACTGTAGTTCGATTATATAGATTAACTGTATTAACTAACTTGGTAGTTGCGAATGTGTAATGCTATCTGGCACTCTGATAAGCTGGTGTAATGTGCTAGGATATATATGCTATTTATTAACTTACTTTAATAACATGCTTGTAAAGGACATAACTTGAATTACTCTGCACTACTAATAATAAGCCTTCAATATTTGTTTAACTGCTTTCACCATAGAGGCTGAAGGTGAGCAGGGTTAAATGTTGATCAGCAGCAGGATCTGTGAGCCATATTAGAGATGAATTCAAAGTCAAACAATTATTTTATATATCATTTTTTTCAGTTTTGAAGATGTACATTTTGGTTTGAGTTACTTTCACTGTTTGTCATACAGCAGTTTAAATGTAAGCTCCATCAGTGTTATTTCATCGTTTACATGTCAGTCTGTATTTTCATCCATCATCCTTAAGGCCACACAAGCATCAGCCTCAGGTTCACCTTGTGCACATGAACACATCTGGGTCCTGTGTTTCCCCACAGACGGACGAGGAGAGGCAGCAGGCTCTGCAGGCCTACACTGCGCAGTCTTTCCTCGGCTCTCCGCAGCACAACACCCTCTCCAGTTCTGGATCAGGGGCCTCGGCACACGCCTTCCCATCCCCCACCAGTTCCTCAGAGCACAGGAGCAATATGAAGAGGGGTCCACGGAAAAAACTAAATGAAAAGTACCGACTCAAGTACCTCAGACTGCGTAAAGCAGCTCGCGCCATGATATTTGTGAGTGAACTGTGGACGCATGGAAAGCTATGAGGGTTTTTTGTGTTGTCTTTAACAGCATGCTTAAGGCTTTTGGTATGATATTGTAAAGATTGTTAGAACCTTTCAATCGTTAATAGTCTGCAGTTTCATTTTTTTTATTTAGGTTCTTCTCAGGATCAGTTTCATTGCTGTAATACAGTTTATTCCACAGGAGAATGCAGCCCTCTGTGACGAAGTCGCCCATTTAGAAGAGTAGTTCCTAAGAGCTAAGGAGGAACGGAGGTGAGCGGATATGTTTCTGCTATGCTTATGTTTTCCATGACGTTTAAAAATGTGTGTCTTCACGGGGTGTCCGCGGGGTCTTAAAAAGTATTAAAAGTTGATAAATCTATTTAGTGAAAATGAAGGCTATTAAAAAGTATTAAACAGCATTTTCCAAGGTATTACTTTTTGCAGCTNGGTTCCGAGACTCGTCCTTATAGAAAACCCGGTAAAACGACCATCTATTAACATAAGACGTGATGTGACAATAGATGTGACTCCAATACAGAGACAAATCAGGGAGGAGGCCGTACGTCCAGCTCCCCCCTGTCACGCTCTTTTACCATTTTACAAATATGGTAAAGACCTTCTAGATCAAAACACATGTGTGATGTTCCCATTTTCTAGTTCCCTATTTTGTTCCTTAGTTTGTCGAAGAGATACGTATGTAACACACACACCAACACACACACCACCACACACACACCACACACACACACACACACCACAACACACACACAACACACACCACCAGAAATTCAAACACACAAAGACACAAAAAGGAGACAGACAGGACCAGGGACCATAACCATAGGCCCGTCTAACTGGGCTTGGAGAATACTTCCTGTATTTACGCCACCCATAAAAAAGTATTCACCTTTTTTATTTCTGGTTAAAGTGTACAGGAAGTTTTTTATTCGTGGCCGGTAACTCAAAGTCCACTCTTTTATAGAATATCAAAAAAAAATAAGTAACTTTTACCTTTAGCCCAGTTAAGTGGGCTTGTTGTGTGTTCCCAAAAATTTAAATTGGATTATTCAAGTCACTTAGACAACTGCATACACCCTGCCGGGGTCTGGACCCCGGACACTCAACACTTACACGGTCCAGGACGCTCCCCACCTCCGACTTCTCCGGTTAGTCACACTAGCCCTTGGACCGGCCTCCACGATAAATTCGGTTGTCGACGGGCTCAGGTGTCCGCCACGGTACTGAGAGAGCGTTCGGACGACCGCCTTCCTGAGAGGTGGCACTAGAAACGGGAGCAGGTTAGGAGAGGACACAAAAAACCACAACGGTTTTATTTCACGGCACCAAAAAAACCCCTTTGACAACTCGCAGAGAGGGTGCAAAAAGACAACACCCGTTGGTCCGCCAGTATTGTTGCACCCCCCGAGCAGATAGCACTTCATCTTTCCCTCAATCAACCCACCACACGCAATCGACATGGACTCAATCGGACACAGCACCGATTAACCATCGGACCTCAAATAAATACCCCTCTTCGACCCTCGTGCATAGCGAGTATACTGACAATGCAGGCACAAACCCCCAAGGGAGCCTACGTCACTGCATACCGGATATACCACAACATATACGTGTGATCCTCCACGGATCCGCAATAAAACTTGGCGCCATACCGGGCCCAAACCCACATAACTACTCCCAACAAAAACAGGCCATCACACTAGCAAAGAGAATATATAAGCGACTTTGTATCCTCCATCACCAGGGCGGACACATAGTATGGACATCCTCACAAAGGGACATCCAGTTCTCCGCAAAGGGGAAACCCAAACGGCAGACCCCCCCCGGAACTATCACAACCCCATGCCGCCAATTCTCGAGTAAAGGTGGAAAAGGGGATTTGAACGGCCCTCGTGAAGGCACCAAGTCTCCCCAACGGCCAATGGACCAGCGGAGAGAGCAAGGTCGCCCGAAATTCACGTATTTATGGAAGTGGAGCGAATTCGGAGTATCTTTCTGTCCCCCACTAATAGTCTTCATTACAAACACCAATCCTTTAGTCAGATAATCACCCCCGACAAGTAAGGATGACAACCACGTGTCCACCCGACTTATTTAACGTAAAGGAGAGATCTCTTTAACGTCGCCAATAACATATTTACCTCCTATAACATTGCCCAGTCTCACGCACAACTTAAAAGCTCGTCTTCTTCTCAACGAGTTTATGCGTATCCAACCTCTGACTTTTCCTCAACCGCACCTCCTCTACGCTGTCCCTAACCGACCTTTCTCGCCACAGGAACCTCTTTAACTCCGTCCTTGACTCGTCGATTCAACCCAAAGTCTCCCTCTCTGACCTTAATTAATTTCCCGTTTCAATTGCCGACTCAGGACAAAGACTATTAGTCGATCAGTTTCACCCGGGGCCCTCAAGTCTACCTACTGAATTTACTAAACTCAACCAAGGGGTCCTAAATTACTCTTCCTAGGCCTGTAAACAAAAATTTTTAAAACTCGCAGAGCGTCCACATTCCTCGCACCACACTCCAGTGAGCGCACAATAACAATGTCACCACATAATTGAGCCCTCCCGAGTCCCCGAATAAGTAAGAAATTCACCGTCACTGGATAAACGCGATACTAAATCAATTTAGACGGGCAAGGAGCTTCCGAATGCTCGACCACGGACTTCGAATAGCAGTCGCCAAATCCTTAACCTTCTCTCACACTATTTAAGTGGAACTCAAACGAGCCCTATAAATTTGTGGGTAAAGCTAGCGACCACACGCCGTTGACTGCAACTAAGAGTGCCCCGTAACTCCCTCAGAGCAATAAACACTCGTTAATTTTTTAAGACATGGCCTTCGTGTAACGCACATATATCACTCGGCGTCAGTCCACTGTCGACGCTTCGACGGACGTAATCTCTACTATACAAAACTGTGATGCAACCACCTACACGACGGTATGTTTCGTCAGTGCCACCTTTAAGGAGGCCCATATCACTCGACCAGACCAGCAGGTCACTCTGGGGATGAGAGTGAGTGGAATGCATTAGAAGAACACGGTGAAGTGGAACAGGAAGACATTTCTGAAGATGAGGATAATGAGTATAAAACTCAGAATTTGACAGCAAATTGGAAGATGAACTTGACTCAGAGCCAGCTGCTGGAAGACTCCCACAGCCAGCCACTGAAGGACCCCCACAGCCAGCGGCAAGAAGACCCCCACAGTCAGCTTCTGGAAGTCCCCCACAGCCAGCTGTGAGGTCTGTGGACCCCCAAAGGACTCCAAGACACAGACTACATGCAGCAACTGCAACAAGTACATCTGTGCTATACACACGGAGAAGTTCTGTACATCATGTGTTTCCTAAACGGACTTGCCCATTGACTCACATGATGTTCTGCAGCGTCACTTCATCAATATATTTTTCGGATATACTGTATTTTATGAATAGTGACTGTTAATTGTTTTTATTTGCTTTGTGTTTATATCTGTTCTATGTCATTTATATGGATGTTTCATCATCTCTCTATATTTCACAGCCAAATACTTTTGGATGTGTGGTTCTTGTGTTTCAATTGCTGATAAATTGCTTTATTTCCTTCAGGGCTTTGATTATTATATGGCAGATTAAAAATAATAAACATTAATGAAAAAATGTTTCATTTACATTTGTCCTAGAAAAGCATGAGCAAAATGTAAACCTAGTTTTTATTACAGTGTATTTTTTTTAAACATAAATTACATTTTTATCACAAAAAACGATGGACACTTCCATTGTTAAATTTGATCTAGCAAAGAGTATTTTCAAAAACTAATCATATATTTCATTTATATTGTTGGGGAATGAATTAAAGACAATATATATAAGGAATTGTGCATGTTGAATTTAGTTCTGTATTGTTTTTAAACCCTGAAATATGTCCCGGGTCAATTTGACCTAAGCCTCCAGATCTGAACTCTTTTCAACAACAGGGCTACCTCAGGCGGCTTTACAGCCTGAACCCCAGAGGCAGAGTTTCAAGAAGGAGGATCAGGTCCACGTATGCCATGGAGGAGAAGATCAGAGAAATGCAAACATTTTTTGGTTTGAGAGAGACGGGTGGTCTGAATCCTCACACCCTGAATGTGATGAAGAAGCCCTGGTGTGGTGTTCCAGATGTGGAAAACTTCAGCTTTTACCCTAGAAAGCCTAAATGGAAGAATCACACCATCACATACATGTGAGATGTTTTTTTTTTTACTGGAATATTATACAATACGCATTTTATTGTTGATTTGTTTTCAGATTTCATTTAGCCAAGTGACTATAAGCAGCTGCGGATTTAGTTTCATGTTTGTGCGTCTGTCTGTGGAACTGCAGGATATCCAAATACACTCCGGACATGAAGAGAGAGGATATGGAAATGTCCTTTCGCTCAGCACTAAAGTTATGGAGTGATGCAGCACCGCTGAAGTTCATCAAAGTCAACCATGGCAAAGCTGATATAGTCCTCAGCTTCGCACGCAAAAGTAAATCTGAAAACCACTTCTGAAGAATGCTTATGTTGATTAAAACTGAGTTTAAATGATTGTAAATTAAAATACCGGAAAAGAAAGAGAGGAAAAAAGCACATTATATTGAAGTCATGTTTAATTTGTGTGACAAAGTGTATTTTCTGTTGCAGCTCATGGAGATTTCTGTCCCTTTGATGGACCCCGGGGTGTTGCTGGCTCATGCCTTTCAGCCAGGAGAGGGGATAGGAGGGGACGTGCACTTTGATGAGGACGAAACTTGGACGGCGGGGAGGAAAGGTTTGTCAATATGTAACCCAAAATATGTTTAGCTTTTCGTTGAGGATAATCAACATTCTTTAAAAAGAAAATTAGAACATACAGAAGTATACTCAAGTACTGTATTTAAGTTCACAAGACAGGTTACAAGTACTTGATTATAGTATTTCCTTGTTATTCTATGTAACCTACAATTTTGGTTACTTTTTTTTAATATATTGCATACAATAGCTTAAACATAAGGTTGGGTGTATTGTTAGACCACTAATTCAGTATCAAAGGTATATCTCTATGCATTGTCTATTACTAGAATTATAAATTAATCAATACATAAAAGTTATCCAATATATCATATGACACAACTATAGGGGCCATTTCCATCGTGATGAACTTTTGGTGCTTTCATTTTCCTAACAATACTTTTAATAACTGTAAGCACAATTATGACAGCAGGATATTTACTTTTTTTTATTTGAGTATTTCTACTTTTCCATTCAATTCTAAACCCCAGTTGGAAGCAAACGGATGTTGTGCTGATTTTGTTGAAACTGTAAACACCTTACACTAAGGGTAACAGTAGGTGTTGCATGTGCCTTCAGCTGATGAAAAACTACTGGGACGTAGCCAAACATGCAACATTCCTGAATGTTTCAAACCCGCGTAATGCATTTTTCTGTGTGGATTTGTCAGCCAGATGAACTAACAGGACTTGTCTGTCCCTGGGTTTCAGGTTACAGTCTGTCTGCAGTTGCAACTCATGAGCTCGGCCACTCGCTGGGTTTGACTCACTCAAAAGACCCCTCTGCTATCATGTACCCCAACTACAGAATTCAGAGCAGTACTCAGTATTCTCTGTTCAAAGACGATGAGCTTGGGATCCAAGCGCTGTATGGTGAGGAGCAAATAAAATTGCGGAGTGATGATTTGCACAAAATACCATATTTAATGGATTATTTTTTAAATGTTTCTTAGGAACACCAAAAGGAAAATTGGCAACAGAACCAGCCCCTGAAATATGTGGCCCCAATTTTTCATATGATGCAGCAGTTATGATTGGAAAAGAGATTGTTTTCTTTAAGGACAGGTACAAAATATAAAATATATGTTCTATTATTTGCTTGCAAAAGAGCTTTACCTGTTTAAACATCAATTAGGTCTGCTTATTGTTTCAACATAGGTACATGTGGATGAGAACAATGCAGAAAACGTTTTGGAGTCGCCTGAGAGAAAGCCACATCAGCACATATTTACCCAGCATCAGTTCTCACGTGGATGCCGCTTATGACATCCCTGCCAAAGGCGTGGCGTACATATTCACTGGTATGGTAATGGGAAGTCTGCAAATAATCACTTTGGCCTTGTCAGCGTGACATGGCTATATTTCCAGTGGGGGAAACACAGTTTGCTCAAATTACACCCTTGTGCAACTTAAGTGTTGCAGTTCATGCAAGAGGCTCATTAAGTTTGGCAGCGCTTTGTGGTATGTTGCTGTTTTTCATAGTGTCCTAAAAATGAAGTGACACGGCTGTGTTTTTCCAGGTCATAAGTATTGGGTGGTTCGAGAGCTTAAGATGAAAAGTCACGCCCGCTCCATCCATGAGTACGGCTTCTCCTCCAGAGTCAAGCAGGTTGACGCGGCCGTGCATGTCAGTGAATATGGGAAAACTGTCTTCTTCATTGGAGAGTTTTATTACAGGTAATCCATTTTTTATGATGAAAATTTGCTTCCTATTGCAACATTATGTATCTATCACCCTAGGACTATATTGCCAAGTCAAAGGCAGTATATCCGTTTGTATTACTATTATTATACCAGCCAATTGATCAGATGGAAGTTTACATTAAAAACCCTTTCATGCATGAATTATGAAAACCTTAATCAGGATTTTTTTACCAAGTGTTATTATTGCTCTTGGGGCATTTTTTTAATCTAGTTTTTTCAAATAGATTTTTACATGTCCACTCAGGTGGACAGTTCAGGGTTTGAACTGAAGAGATGTACATTTTGAAAAAATGATAAATAAAGATGTGCAAACTTAAAATTACATTATAATAACATAAGTATATTGATTTACGGCCCAAAAAGATATTGCAGATGAAGTATTTTCAAGAATAACCAGGGCCAGGGGCCAATTTGAGGCCCCACGCACAGTTATTTGATGAGTGGAGCCTTGCAGCGGCGAAACCGTGCCACGCCACCCTAATTGTGCCACATAAGCGCATAGGTGCGCCTCAGATGTGCAGTGTTGGGCAAGTTACTTTTAAAAAGTAACTAGTAATAGTTATAGTTACTGCTCTCAAAAAAGTAACTAGTTACTTTATTAGTTACTCAATTATAAAAGTAACTAGTAATACGTTACTTTACTTCAAACAATAATAACAATAAAAATACAAGTTTTGTGTTGTTTTTTCCTGACTAGTTCTCTGAAGGCAACAGACTCGACCGTTGCGATGGGCAGCATGTCCTCAACAACATACCTGGCAATCAATCTATTTAGTTGACTCTGGGTGACATGTGGTGATTTAAAAAAAATAGTTTTTTGGCTGTTTAGACCCAGATGGAGCAACCACCGGTGGTTGAGACGGTGGGGTCTTTGGCGACTAGTTTTATAGCCCCATGTACATTACTTAGGTGCTTCAGGAGATTGGCATTGCTGTTTTTCGATGTGGACAATGCTTTCGGTCCTGCACACAGTTTACATTTTACCGTAATATTTTTTGCGTCCTTTATCCCCACAAATTGAAAATAGTGGTTATATTTCCAAGTTGCAAATGCGCTGCTGCGAGAGCAGCAGCGCATTTGCAACTTGGAAATATAACCACTATTTTCAATTTGTGGGGATAAAGGACGCAAAAAATATTACGGTAAAATGTAAACTGTGTGCAGGNCTACGACCTCCAAGGGAGACGTACTGAAACCTAACAGGGACAATACCAACGGTACGTGACTGCCGTGAATAAATAATCTGTGTGCCACCCTTACTGTCGTTCACAATCAAACACTTACCCTCGTCAAGGCTACTCCCAAACAACCAGCTGTGCGCCCCATCACGGCCCACTGCTCGTAAAACACGCTACAGCTGTGTGTTGAGTTCCTCTCCCTTCACAACACAACAAACTCAATTTTCGAGAAGTACCTCCGAAACGACCAGGTTCAACCTCGAGCCCCCATATGTTACAACCCGGCTCCTGGGCTGTAACATAAAGCAGGGAGGCGAGACAAGAGGTAAGAACATAACAGTTTTAATCTTAATCACAATCAACTGAACGGAAACCAGCAATAGGTCCCCGAAGCTGGCGCAGAGAGAGTACCCAGAGGAGTGAGAGCGATGTATCTGGCTTGCTCCTCCTATATCCTTTTGGCAGCATAGCTCACCCGGCAGGTGCGGCTCATCAGCACCGGAACCTGTAAACACCCACAAAGCACACACACAAACAGACAAACCACACACAAACAGACGGCACCCCATGTGGTGTGGAGGGGTCGTCACACTACTTATCAACTCAAACACACCAGATTATCCCTGTTAATTACACAACATTGATTGGTTTAAATTGTGTACAATGCTTTTGTATTTTTTCCCCTTCCATTCTGAGAAACAATAATTTTTTCGGAGTTTAGGATTGCCAAAGACACTACACTACCCAGAATCCTCAGCTATCGTTCCACTTTGCTAGACAAACCCCGTGATTAGTCCTCAAGCTATGTGATTGGTTGACCTCCAACTGCATTCCATATGGAAAAAAAACGTTTCGTAAAAGATAAAATCATACTTTATTCAGCAGTGCTTGCTTTACTCTTTAAAATCACATGCACATGCATCACATGAATGCATAATAAATGGTTCGGCTGCATTAATTATTACACATCTGTCGTAGTTCTTTATTTATCTACAGAGACCGGGCCTCAGAATAGACCGGAAATCAGTGGCGTCGCCTGGCCTGGGCATTCGGGGCTTTCTCTCTAATCAGAGAGTTGCATGGAAATAAACGTGTGCTTGTGTCAATCAAGCTCAGCTCTGTGTGTGTGTGGCGATAGCGCATTAAGGCCCAATCCCAAACCGTCCCCTACCCCCTACCCCTCCGTTTAAGCGTTCGCTTGGAGGGTCCGCCACATTAAGTGCTGTTCCAAACCAACGAGTGTGGAGCGGTGTGGAGGGGGAGTGGGCTATCAAGCCCTCAAACAGCGAGTCTGCAGCGGTGCTGACTGGAGATCGGTCTCTACCTGACCGGAGTCACGCTGTGTGTGTCCGTCAGTAGTTCGTCAGTAGTTCCAGCAAACATCCACTGATAAATTGTGATGTTAACAACCTCATGATAACCTCATATTTTTTTAACTTGGGATCATACCTGTGTTTAGTCTATAGAAAAAGGTAAATGTGTGCATTTTATTATATAGTTGTGTATATTTACAAACTGTTGCAAAAACTAAGAAGCTTATAAACAGGGGTGCACAGGTACGCATGCGAGGCAAACATCTGAAATGCGTACTGTCACTTGTGTCACAAAGCGCATTTGCGTACCAACGTACTTGTGAAGCTTTTCCAGAAGGCGGTTAGATCACCGGACAACAGAGTCGGTTTTCCGCGCGTGCAGCAGAACAGGGACTGCTGTTAACGTCGGTCTGTAACAGCAGCACTGCGCTAAAACAGCTGATCACAACGTTCACACACACTCTGTGATCACGAAGCTCTGCACTCCCACTACCCCCCCCCCGACATTCGCGATACAGAGGGCCTTCATACTCCACTTAGCACCCACCGCCCCCCCCCCGCTGGACATTATGCGATACAGAGGGCTTCATAACGTCCACTAGCACACCCCCCCCCCCTTTTCCCATTGTGAAAAACCGGTTGTACATACTAGTTACGGTTGTTTTAGTTTATAAGGTGAGTCGATTGACAACTGGCGACATTCATTATTTTCGTCATAGGAATCCGTGGGCGTGTACATTGAGGACCCATTTGTTGACTTACCAGGAAAAACATCATCGTTTTGTGTTTACCGTTCATCTTTTTGTTATATCTGCCTTCCTAAGATCACTTTGCTGCACATATTCAGACTCGATATGGATGAGGGTTGGTAGGTGAATGAGGGATGGAGGTGTCCATGGGAGCAAATAGTTCTAGATAGACGAGCTTACTAGAGAACATGGGAATGTGTAGGTCAGTTTCTGAGAACCTCTGACCATGTTACAAAGTAGTGACTGTTG